AGGCGCCGTGAGTCATTTGTCTAACCGTAAGTACGGCGCACTTGAGAGAAACGTTGCTTTTACACGGTGAATCCCGATTTCAAAGCACTATACTGTAAAGAAGTATGGCAGACTATTGAAGCTGGTTTAAAAGCTTCAGAAACTGAAATGGTGGGCTAAGTGACTCTTTATCGGAGATAAGAACCCACCTGTCCTCAGCACAGGGCTCTGGAATAGGATGCCAGCTGGATACGAGATCAATTCAAAAGAGCCCAGACGCTTAGGAGGAGAGGAGCCCGTCAGCTGGGCACTAACAGGTGTATGGACGAACATTTGCTTGCGAACTTCTGGTCTATTGCAGACAGGGCACGTCCTCCCGTCCTGATAATCTTACGTTGGATACGAACGCTCTCTCTAGTTCGCTCCTCTGATACGATCCCCCTCCCCTGGTTGCCGCCTAGCTTACGACACCCCTTCTCCATCCTTACCAATTTTCCAAGATTTTCCCAACTCCCAAGTACTTCTCCAGTTTTTTCCGGAATCTCCCTTGAACCGATATTTAGCTTCCCGAAGTTTTGCTTTCAAGCGGGGAAGGGTGGAGGATTTTGTTGCAAGCAACTAATAGTTTCAGCTATCAGAAACAGTGATTGTGTAGGACTTTGGCGGCGCCACCAACTAAGGTGGCAAATTTCCGCAAATTTCTCTTGAAGGCAAATTCGACCCCCCCCTATCTAGAAGCGAGCAAATACAACCCCCCCCCTTAAAGCGGCCGCGAAACAAGACAAAGTAAAATTATTTTTCGGACCAAAACGACCCCCCTCCATCCAGTGACCAATACTACTTCCCCTCCCGCTGTGAATTCCCCAGCGTACCACTGGTCTGAATGCAGAGATGGCGCTGTAGATGGGTAGAGCGTTCGGCATATCAGCAACCTGTGGGAGAAAACTCCAATAAGCCAAGTCAATGGCTCAGGGAAGATTCCTCCTCAAGTGAAGTGTCTGCGAGGCCACCATTGACTGGTGCACTGTAGGGCCAAATTTCAGACATTGTACACGTGATGTGCTTAGAGAATGCCAGTACGAGGCAGAACCAGTGTGATGTGCACGGAGTATCGCGAGGAAATGATGCGTTCCCTAGCGTTCTGGCACTTCATGTCTATGAGGCTCTCCTTATGCTGGAGAGGAAAATGGATGATTCGTGTTCTCGCTAGTTCGCAATAGCGCGGCCTTCTGAGCCTTTTCAACAGAAATTTTGAACTTTTTTCAGGGATCCTGGATCGAGTTAGGGGAACTCTTTTGTCACCTCATACAGTATTGGCAACTTTGGGCTGTTGAAACTATAGATGATAGCGAAACAACGAACTATAGATTATATCAGCAATAAGAGAATATGACAGTGGGAGAGTTGAATGCTCACGTCGACAACATGCTGTCACGCATGCGTCAGGTCGTCAATCACGTGGCTGAATGTGGTGAGTGTTGAGTCACACAACACAGTACTCAGTCTTCTGCGATTGGCCATAGATATAGGTACAAAAATTACTATGCTGCTGTCATAAAATATAATCCGTGTTTTCACGTGAACGGTGAGGTCTTCGATGATTTCTCAATGGGAAGCATCAGCCATCGAAATCAATCCCGATCGTGCAGCAGCGCACTCTTCTTGAGTTTTGCTTAAATGTAACCGTTGTATTTTTATAGATCCATACTTCCCCCCCCCGTCTCCCGTTGTTCTCACCCTAAATATCCGAAAGGTCCTGTCGATTGAGGGTGGCCAAACCCCAATTAGGGACACCAAGACACTCATAACGTGATGTGTTCGCCATAACCGCCAGCTTATCATCCATACTGCCTATGAGCTTACAACTACTGGGCTATGTTGCTATTTGAGACGGGAGTCGCATTTGTCAGAAAAATTCCTAGCCTTGCTGATTTTTTTTCTCACGAGCTCTACCCTTTGGTCAACGGCAAAGTTTTCGGGGAAGTTAAGAAATACCAAGATGGGTAGTTAGATGACGGGAATCTCTCTGCCTTGAGCAGAGTCAGCGGGAAAACGTTAGCGAAAATTTCCCACAAACGTGATGACCTGTCTTGCATACAGCGAGTTATCGGATAAATCGCCGCTTACAGTGGACAAAGTGGAGCATTACCCTTGGTGGGGACATTTTGCTGCTTCCCACCAATCGTTGCTGATGCCTCCTGTAGAAATCCGTGTAAGGATAGGTTTCGCCGAACGATTCTCGGCTATGTAAGAGCTTCGGCTCAAAGGTCCGCTAATGATTTGCTTCTTCTTAATCGTGATAAGGATACCCCTCCTATTTCGTTTAATATGAAGATACGTTCGGCTCGGTCCTTTGTGCATTCACAACTTCTGCTTGAGCCATTACCTAAATTTAAGCGGGAATTTACTATAGCTAGCGATACTTAAGTGAGCTTCTTTACGTTAAATAATGTTTAACAGGCAAACCCAAAAAAGTGTTCAGACCATACTTCTAGCGAATGCTCCTTACATCGAGTGATCATCACAATTGAAAATTATTAACGAGAAACTGCAGAGTATCATTCGAAAGACATGTGCGACCCGCGGGACGGTCGTTCGAACTGCATGGGTTCGCTTGACAGACGGAAGTGCGGCTATTCATTACGCAACAGGACATGACACTTTTGCCCTCTCATCTGTTTACTCTCCGTTCAACGACAATGCGGGCTCGCCAAACTCGCTTGGTCATGGACTTCCAATACTCGCACATCTGTTACAGTTCGTAAGAATTCTCCAGCTTAATCTCTTAATTGCTTTCGATTTGAGCGTTATGTCCTCAACTTGCTGGGTCGGCTTTCGCATTATTGGTGTGTTGTCGAGGGGTTCCTGACACGATGTCAGAACCGCTGGAGTTGACGGGGCGCTTGGTGGGTAGAGCATAATCCATCTTGAACACAATTCGAGCGACCTCGTTATTGACGGACGATTCATTTGAAACTTAGGCAAATATTGAATAACTAGTCTCCACTATAACCCGTGAGGCCACAAAACAAGTGCAAGAACTATTATATAGATATACATTGAAGCGGCTTTCCTAGCACAAGCGGCCTCAAATATTTGGAAGTAGATTTTAAACTCTCATTAACTCGATATACCATGGTCTTTTCCATTTCAGCATCTTTACCTTTTTGTTGACAACAAATATATGGAGTAAGATGACACTGTGGATACAATGATGGCTATATACTAGAGCAGCAAAGCTTCTCTAATATTTCAGTTGCTCGGGAGAATATATCTTCTACGACCTCTTAATTATTTAAACTTGACCTAATTTCGTAAAAAGTTCGCATGAAGAAAAGGAAAGGCTATGTCGATTGAAATTTAGCAATATCTCTCATAAACATGCGTGTACGCTTACTTGCTAGGTGGTTCGCTTCAGTGGGCTAATGCCGTTTGGACTCCAGCAACTTCGGCACCGAGCTCATTTTTAAATTACCTAAGTCGCCAAACCCGCTGAAAATATGTACACAAGGGTTATTTACCATCCTGATTACAATTATGACACTCATTCTTGGCGCTGCCGCTACGATTACCTCTTGGGCTCAGCCTTAGCGGAGCGCAGGTAATCGTAGTGTCATCCATTAGCGCCAGCGGCAAGAGTGAATGTCATATTCGTAATCAGGATGTTAAACTACCCCTACATACAAGTTTTTAGCGGATTTGGTAACTTAGGCAATTTAAAAATGAGCTCGGTGCCGAAGTTGCTGGAGTCCAAACGGCATTAGCCGCTTTAATGTCAGGAGTCGACAGGTCTGCAGCTGCAGAAGTGGGCCACTTTTTCACTCGAGAGTGCACTGAAATAAAACTGGAGGAGGGCAGTAACAGAATGGCGTTTGGTCTCTACCTGCCCTGCACAACGGCATGCACTTACAATACTGAGGTTCACGATGTGCATATCAGGCAACAAATAACGCGAACAGCAAGCTGCGCATCGTAGCTATGCATAGAGAACAATCAAACCTGAGAGAGCGCACACAAGTATTATAGCACGGTCGCTATTTCTGTCGACGGTTATCATGATGTGATATACTGTGCGGGGAAGTTGTGTCAACTTTTCAAACTCAAAATAATCACCTACTTCCCGAAGAATGGGGTGATCGACAATGTAAGCAGTAATGCACGAAAGATTACCTTGCTTTGAGTACCCATCGCCTACTTCTTCTTTTGTACCTCCCTTTGATTTCCACTCGCCTACTTCTTCTTTTGCAATATGGACAATAATGAAGTCCGGTTCCATCGGCATTGACCCTATAAGCGCTTCCTCAGACTCTTTCGTACACCACCCTGATGCGAGCATGAGAGCTACCGATGCCAAAATGGAGGAGCTGCACAGGGACGACGTCCCCTGTTACCGCATTTTCTTTCACGACGCTGTTGCTTTGAAGCGGGAGTCTGCAGCTTTAAAGACGAAGTGAGGTTCGAATGTCCATGTGAAGGCAGCTTGAGGGAGCTAGGGCTCCTGGAACTAGTTGATGAAGAAGCTGCCTCCACGAACAATCCTATTACAAAGCAGAAATGAGTCTGAAGCGAATCATTGATCAGAGAGGATTTCGATAGCATACTCTGCCTTCAACATGACAGTGCAGCACACACCTTTTGAAAAAGCTCGAACAGAACCTCATGCAGTAGAGCTGGATGACTCTCATTTTGCAACCGTGTAGCCCAGACATTGCTCTTTCCAGCTGCAGTTCACTCCAGTACTTAGCCATTTTATGGACGAGGAAATCTCAACGATCAAGCCCAAGTCAAACTTGAGATGATGACTAAAACTGCGTCGCCCCGACCTGCATTGTGAAGCGGCAGCACCCATAAGCTGCTCAAAAACTGGAAAGAACCTCGCAACAACAATGCTGGATATTTATATTTCTCATCTTACACGCCTCTCTTTAGTAAGAAAGTGTTATTTCAAAAATATAACAATACTCTTCCGCCAACCTATGTTTATGTAAAGACTCTGAAAACTTTATTGCGGTTCAGTGCAGTTAACGCAAAGAATCACAGAAGCCACATGATCTTGGACACACTTTCTTCTTGGTAGCCTCCGATAGTGTACCCTTGCAGAAACCACTCGGTACAAGAGAGAGGCAACTGAAACATCTTCTGGTAATTTTTGACGGGGAACCAGCGATACGGGAACGTCTTACGAATGGTTGTCCTCGCATTTAGAGTCGGTTTGTATGTTTATGAACGGAACAGGTCGTTTTGTTGTTGTCGTAGTTGTAGTAGTAGTGGTGGTAGAAGTCGTAGGTCTTGGTGAATTTGCAGGAACTAGATGCTTTAGGTTGATCTTAGCGATTTCAAGACAAGAAATAATAAAGCAGTACCGTGTCGGTATTCAAGCACTGTCGTCGTTTTGACAATCCTGTTATATGTCATTATTGGGACACGGTTTATGTAAGAACGAAGAATTGTTCCAGCCGCGTCAGGTGAGCAGAATCTTCAATTCACTC